TTCAAAACCAACATGAAGGTAAAAGTTAAGACTCAATAAAACATTCTCTGGTTGGCCTTTTTACAACGTGAGTTCACATGGGGGTCAAGGGTCATTTGTCATCCAGAACAGTTCCCAGATATTTATATTGATGCACCACCTCGACAGCTTCACCGTTAACGACCACAGCAACTGAAGACTCTTTTCTAAAATCAACAACCATCTCTTTTGTCTTAGAAACATTTGTGAAGTCCCCGACCACAGGCCCAGGATCTGGGTCATCACTGCTGAGACGGGACAGGATGACAGAGTCATCAGCAAACTTTAAAACGTGACGCTGTGAGAACTGGCTGCAACAATCGTTTGTATATAAAATGAATGAAAGGGGTGAAAGAACGCAGCCCTAAGGGAAACCGGTAGAGAACAGAAAGACATCAGAGAAAATCCTGTTGACCCTCACCCGCTGAGACCGAACAGTTAAAAAGTCCACCATATGAGGCCAGAGTCTAGACCATACAGACATTGTAATTTTTCTGCTAAAATGTGGGCCTGAATACAGTTAAAAGCAAATGAAGTCAATAAAAACAATCTAACAAATGTTTTTGTACCATCAGGGTGGGTGACATGCATTCCTTCAAGGAGTGCTAGTTTCCTATCCCAGCCTACATCACAATCATCTCAGCTAAAACCTTAATACATTTCCAGGGTTTTAACATTCATCAGCCGTTTTCTCCCATGGGTGGCCACCACTATGATGAGTCTTCTTTTCTCCTCTTCCTTATCTATCTAAATTTTCCCCCTCATGGCATGAATGTGATGACCCCTTAGACTCGCATATGCATGTCTATGCCCACATGTGTGTAAGCCTATTTAAAAAACACTGACAGCAACTTCTCAGCAGAAAATATTTATGGCTTTAATAAATCCTCACTCTCTGTGTATCTGGTGTTGCTGTCATTACCTGCAGTCAGTCAGTCAGTTGGTAAATTAATCACTCCATCAGTCAGTCAGTCATCCTCAGGGAACGTGATCTGCCAGTCTGTCAGTTAAATGAACAAGTTGGTAAATCATGCACGCTCTCAGTCAAAGTAAATAATTCACTCGCTCACTCCGAAATTAGTCAGATCTTTAAATAAACCAAGTGACTTACTCACTGCTCGGCTGGTAAATCCATCAGGAAATTAGTGACTGGATTCAAGTCGGTCACATAATGACTCGTCTTCTCAGGATTGGTTTTGTAACTTTGTGTTCAAGCCAAGAGACAAAGGTGGCTTAACCTCCGCTGAGCCCGCCAGCCCCTGATAACACTGGGCCAATTACCTTACCCCTTAGATGGAGTTTGTGTTTGTGCACGTGTGTGTGAGAAAAATGTAATGATGGCTGGTGAAAGCTGGGACATCTAGACTTTATCAGACTTACTGGACTATTGATAATGTTAGCATAACAGCTCATAACCAGTGTTGCTAATTCCACTTATTATAAGCGACTTTGGGCTTGTTTTTTTTTTAAAGTCGCTTGCAAATCTTGTGATTCGCGTTTTTTTGTGCTTGACTTTCTTTCCGAGTGAAGCTAGTTGGTTATCTCCTAGCTCTGCACAATAAATCAAAAGAAGAGTGGTAGTTTGTCCCTTTCCACATCCCCGTTTCCCGCTCCCGCCCAAGTTGGCGAGGCGACAGGCACATTCATACTGTGGGCGACCACTAGGGGGCTCCACTCACACGGATGTTTTGTTTTGAAAAATATGTAGAAAAAATACGATTTTTTTGGCATAAAAGTGTTATTCAAAGTGTTTAGCATAATTTTGCTGTTGTTTATGTGTAACGACATAATAAATGTATGTTTACGGTTTTAAAAACGGCCTCTGTTTTACACAATGTGAAGGGTTGCCAGTTGGACTTTTTTTGGGCTTGTTTTCACAGAGCTGGTTGCTTGTTTCTGTCGTGAGATCTGGCAACACTGCTCATAACCCCTATAATAAAACTGTAAATATGTGAACTTTGTGGACTGTAACAAACCAAAATGGCTAATTTATTCTTCTGGAAAAACTTAAAATTGTCAGATGTTATCCGTGTGAACTAAATCTATTTAAAATTTATTTGTCCCACAGTGCATCATAAAATAGATCATAATTCAGCACTAATACCAAGGCATATGTGTAAACTTTATTTAGGTAATATTAATGAGCTGCTTCAAACTCATGGTCATGGATACTTTATATTTTACAAAACGTAAATAATTTTTGATTCTTGAACAAAAGAGTAAAATGTTCGTTCCACTTGTGATGGAGCAAACTTCAGTGCTGTGAAAATGTTTTATTTGTGTCACCATTTTATCTTAATTTTAATTAATTCAGAGTAGCAGCTTCAAAAAATTGGTCATGGGATGCAAAGTGGCATTTAAAAATTCTCAAGTAGTTATTTCAAACTGTGCTTTAAAGCTGAGTAACTTTGGAGGTGTTACTTTACAAACACATTAAAAAAACACTTAATAAAAGCCATTTAATGTAAAATGTTTATCTGTTTTGTCAAATATGTTACTTATGAGACGGTGTTGACGTTGAGAAATGCATCCCTAAAAATAAAAAAAAATCTGCTTTTTCAGATTTATACACAAAAAAAGACTAAAGTGGTTTTTTTTTTAGTTTGTTTTTTTTCCAAAGCCATTCTGACTCAGCAGATTTATTGTTGTGAATCAACTCAATTGAACTTAGTGAAGTGGTTTATGTCGATGACAACCAGTAGCTTGTTTGTCTATCAAGAAGACCTTGTTCAGTTTTAACCCCATTTCACCAACAACTCATTATTCAACATTCACCTGTGTGTCCTACATCACTGTCCTCTACCTGAAACATGACCTGCACGTTTGGTTCCAAGGAGCTCGAGACAATCCAAGTGTAATTGACAGGTTTTCTGATGGTCAGGACATCTTTCACCCCTCAGATACTGCTCATGTTTGATTCATTCCCCCACACCTCCTTAGTCAGCACAATCACAGGATTCATCTGTTCGACTCCTCAGCTGTTTTCTGATCTCGTTAACTCTTTGCTCTGATCTATGTGGCCCCCCGTCTCACCCTTATAGGAAACCCCTCAACGATCTTCATGGCAGACGACTCAAACACCTCAGGAAACAACAGTCGCTTGTTGCCCAGACCAAATGTCTTCAATTATTTACAGAAGTGATAATTGCAAACATAAAAACTGAATTATAATTCAGCCATTTTTGTAGAAATTCAATTCAGTTTATTTATATAGCGCCAAGTCACAGCAGAAGTCATCTCAGGGAGCTGAACAGAAACATTCCTATATGAAAAGTAAGTTAATCACATGATTTATCTGAGGAGCAGACTGCTTTGAGTTTAACTCCATCGCAGAACTCTCATCTTGAGCAAGCATGAAGGCGACAGTGGAAAGGAAAAACTCCCTCATGAGGAAGAAACCTCCAGCAGAACCAGGCTCAGGACAATCTGAATCGACCGGCTGGGTTTGAGAGGAACAGGAAGGAGGAACAGCTGCACAATTTCAGGCTGAAAATCATATGTTGAGATATAAATGGTATCAAATGAAAACTGTAAATTTGCAACAATACATTTAAGGAAATTAGGTCAATTTGTCCTCTAGTAGTCTAAGCCTACAGCAGCATGGTGTAGGGGCAGGGCAGCGGACTCGGGACCCCAAGGTCCTGGGTTCAATCCCCAGTCATTGCACATCTTGTGGTGTCTCTGAGCAGGACGCATAATCCCGAATTGCTCCCCGGGCACTTGCATAGCTGCCCACTGCTCCACCTGGGTGTATCCCAGGTGTGATGGGTTAAATGCAGAGTCAATTTCATCTTTGTATGGGAACATACAATGATGACAACACATAGCACTTTATTGTTAGAACAAGCCAACCCTAACTATAGGATTTACCAAAAAGGAAAGTCTTAAAACTGGATAATATGTCAGCCTCACGGACAGAGACTGGAAGTTGGTTCCATAAGAGAGGAGCCTGAGAACTGAAAGATCTGCCTCCCATTCTGCTTTTGTGAACTCTAGGAACCACGAGTAAACCTGCAGTCTGAGAGCAAAGTGCTCTGTTAGGAAAATATGGAACAATAAGATATTTAATATATGATGGAGCTAGGTTGTTGAGAGCTTTGTAGGTTAGAAGTAAGATTTTGAATTCTATTCTGGATTTGACAGGGAGCCAATGGAGAGAAGCTAAAACTGGAGAGAGATGATCTCTCCCACTAACTCCAGTTAAGACTCTGGCAGCAGCATTTTGGATCAACTGAAGACTTTTTAAACAAGTGTTTAAACTGAGCTAAAACCTGACGTGCTGGAATCAGAGAGTCATTCCGAGCACGTATTTTAGTTGTAACAGCTAAAATAACAGCAGTGTATTGGCATCATTTGCAAGTTTTGACCATATGGTTATACCTTCTTTGTCTGCTTAAGATGATCTTAGTTTAATACTCTTAGTTTGAACGACTGAGCAATGAGCATTCCTTTAAAAATGCTAGGCGTTTAACGTAGGTATGTTTAATTCAGCAGGAGCACACCACTGAATAACTTATTGCGTGCCTGACTTGAGCTATTCATAGCTATTTCTTCTCCCTTTTGACATTTTCTTTCTGAAATACACACTAGAACAACTCTGACCCCCTCATTTTTTAAATATCATCGCCTCCATATTTTCTGCCCTCTGACCAAAAAGATCCATGTGCTTTTTTTTATGTGACATTATCTCTTGTACTTCCTAATTACTCCCACTCTCTGTTTCTTCGATCTTTGTTGTCACGCATGTATCAGCCTTCTTACCAACAATATCGGAGGAAGTTGCTTTTATTGATTACATTTTATCCTCTGAAGACAAAGCTTTATGAAAATCCTCTTACAATTTGCTAGAGATTACTACCCTTTTTACTCTACTTGTCATTAATACCAACTTAATGACTGATCGTCAACTTTTGTCTCTATGGGAATATGAGCCATCAGGTAGCAGAAATTTTAGATATGTTTTGTTCCTTTTCACTTACCAGGTAAATATGCCATGAGAGATTTAATCCACCGGTTACCAGGCAGTAGTAGCAGCAGCAACAATAACACCACCAGCATCGGGACCGCTGGTACCACAGGAGCTCCCAGCAAGGTCATGTCCGACGATACAGTAATCGCCATCTGCTGTGCACTTCATGAAGTCATCACCAAGAACATGGAGAACGCAAAAGCTCTACGGGACGCCGGTGGTATCGAAAAACTCATCGGCATTGCTCGCAGCAAAGGCGACAAGTGAGTAGACCTCATTAAGGGTAGCTTGTAATATCAGTCTGCATTTACTGTATGAAGTGGCTTTTAAAAGTTTTAAAAATGAAAACGTATATTGTCACATTTAAAGTAACTGCAGGCTGAATAATCTGCATCATCAAACGTAACTAATTCTTCAGCATCGCATTTCTTTAAAGGACATCGTGGTGCACTTGAGATGTAAAATCAAAATAATTGCTTAAAAACATCATTAAACCTACAGTATACTTTCAAACTATGTTCATGTATCAGAAAAATAATTTGATTGATGAATTATGCTGTTAAATTTATAACTGAATTAATTGTTTTTATCGGACGTAAATGCAGATGAGGACAAAGGTTTGTAAGCTCAATTATCCAGGTAGATCAACCACAGAAAAGGTTAAATCATGTCGTCTGGACAAGTTTCTTCAAGGGAGAAACATTTCGTCTTTCATCCAAAGGACTTCATCAGTTTGAGGCCTGCCCCATAAATAGCCCTCATTGCTGTATTTCAAGACAACTTCCTGTTGAATTCCCAGAAAATGTTAAATGGACTGTACTTGTTTACAGTGGTGTAGTCTACATTTTTGTAGTGGATATACCATGGTGAAGTTAGTTTTACGTTGGACACCGCTGAAGCCACGGAGCACGAATGTCCAACGCAAAACTAACTTTACTGCGGTCGGTTCGTATACTGTGCTTAGAAACCAAAGTGCATTGGTTGGTATAATGTAGTCGTCAAATTATTTTGCTTTTTAAGCATACTGAACATTTCCAAATGTATCCGATGCTTATATTTGAATAAATGTACAACAGACTTTGTACAACAGTTGGCTTTGTATTAATTATACAATAATTTGCTGGATAAGCGAATGTATTAAACAAGCGCTGCATACCGACAGATTGTTACGGAAGCTTTTAACTGCCATTTAACGTATCAATGACACATGCCTAATCATATGCCATGTATCATTGGGCACTTTTAAGTGGGCATACTGAAAGTCTTGAGCTTTTCTGGTGGGGATACTCCGTATACCATTCATACAGCACTCTACTAGATCTCGACAAAGATTAATCAATGCTTTATCACATTCATACACCTATGGGACACACATCGAAGGCAATGAGGGGTTCAGTGTCTTGCCCAGGGACTCTTCGGCATGCGACTGCTGGTGGAATCGAACCCCCAGCTCTTGCACTGAAGGACAACTGCTCTAACCACTTGGCCACAGCCGCTCCTAACCGGCTACTAACACATGCAAAAAGGGACCATCCGTCCAATGTAGATGATTCTCAGTTTATCACCATTTCAGGAAAAAGTCATTTTATGGCTCTATACAAGAAAATAAAGAAAATAAATTAATGAGTTGTGGTTGTGAATCCAATTACAGTTAAATAATTGCTATTGCAATACACCGACACGCAGTGCATCTTGAAATGCAAATATTATACAGGTGGAAGAATTTGTTCCTAGTAACATTTTAAAGGTGAAAGCACGTCCCAGACAAAAATTGGACCAAGTTTCCTACTCACTGGAATCTGTAGAGAAAAAAGACCTCCCTACAAAAGCAAATGTGTATCTTTAGTGATTGTAAGGAAAAAAAAGAAGACAACAAAACTTATTGTTTTTCAGAAGACAATTAAGACAGTAAAAAAACCAGGAGTCAAACTGTTTGTCTTATTTTTCTGGTTCATTTATGTTAAAGGCTGTTAAAGTGTTTTATCTTTGTCAAATAAGCAATTTAACCTAAGCTATGATAGTCCGTCACTAAAATTCATAGCAAAGACTGAATTACAATAAGCAAAATGTCTTTTTTTTTTTTTTGGAGAACTACAAGATGAGGTGCAGCTGAATTTCGCTTCCCACTATGGGAGGCTGAGGTGGGTGTTCTGCCCAGCTGCTATGGCAACCAGCAGGTCAGGGGTTGCCATGACACCAGAGTCTTATCAGACGGAGGTCAAATGTTGATTTACTGTGATGGAGAGAGACTCATTCCATTAAAGGGACTGTGCTCCGGGGCACCATTACACAGAGGGATGAGGTGCTGGAGCAAACCTCCATAAATGCAAATTTCACGGGGACTGTAGTTATCAGCTAATAGCTCAAACAACTTCCTTTTCTTTGAAATGGCTCACTGGGGGTAAATGTTTATCGGCACTGCTGTTGAATATTCAGACAAATACTTAAATATTGTTTTTGCTTTGGGAGTTTAGCATTAAACTCAAACATTAGCGTTCCTTAAAGGAATGCGTATCGCCCACCACCTTTCGTGCCACATGTTGAGAAATGGAGTTGCAGCATTTTGGTCGAACATTAAAGTTATGCCACACTCAGAGTATGTGTTGTGAATAACTCTAAACTAATACACACCACGTTTTAGCTCAGTTTATTTTTTGTAAATTAATGAATAATAGGTTTTTGTGTCAATGATGACCTTCAATTCGATTGAGCTCAAACGTTTGTCGTAGATGTGCAACTTTTTATTGCTTAAAGTTTTATTTAAGCCGTCCAATTGTTCATGAGATATTATGCTAACAAGCAGGGTTGACTCCTGCAGTTAATGGTTAGATTTAAAGCATAACTCTTGCCTGGTCAGTGAGTGTTCAGAGTATGGGTTGGGAATCTGTCTCAGCTACTGTCGCAACAAATAGCTTAAAAATTGCCAAATTGAGTTATAATCAGTTTTGTGTTTGCTAAGATCACTTTGCTGTGGTGGTAATAAAACATGTTGACTCTAAAAGCTAACCAGTACATGTCAACCCAAAGATTACTTTCTGGAAAGTATACAGTAGTTCCCTCGTTTAGCTTGTGGGATCCGTACCCTGAAGCCCCGCTATAAGTGGAAAAACTGCAAAGTAGGAATAGTAGTAAAAGTAGTAATTAGTAAATTATATATATATATATAAAGGTGTTTTAAACCCTTCCCACACTTTTGCAATATTTTAAACAATGTTTCTAAACTCTAAACACTTAAAAAGAGTACAGGATGTCATGATTTCAGCTCCCTGCCTCCGCTGCTCTCAGCCACCTGCAGCAGGAAGCTTATCCTGCAGTAAAGGCTGCATGAAGGTGCAGGAGTAAGTTTTTTTTCTGCAGCTTTGGGCTGCACAAAGGTGCAGCAGGTGCTAAATAATTTTTTATTTATTTTAAATGAAAATTACATGCCAATTGAGCGGCTCATCTATCAATCAGCCAATTGTATGTCATGTCCAATCTTGTGAAAAAACGCGACAGAGCGAGTCCACAAACGAACCGCAAAGTAGCGATGGACTATTATAATCTAATTTTGTTCAGTGGTTCATGACATGTTTTGCTAACAGTAAAAACAACCAAACGAAGTGCATAAAACATTACTATATTTTATGAAGTTTTATATTTTACAAGTTGATTTAAATGTATTACCGCTGTCAAAAAGAACATTTTTGATGTGCAACAACGTGAACAGTTCTGGAGGAATTTAATAACATTACTGATTCAGTTCACTTAATAATCCCAGTGAACCATCACGGTGAAAAAGTACGCCTAATGCCAGTTTCTGCACTGAGCAGCGTGAAACCGTCCTAACACCCATGCTTTTTCCTGCTGTGCCATGTCAAAATGTCTCCTGGGAAAATGATTCACCATTATCATCTGGAAAGAATCAAAACCATTTGGTAATGCTTTTTGTGCTTCTGGTGCTATTCAATCCAAATGCCACACAGTGTAACTGTGCTAAATTGCATTTCAGGAGATGCTAGCATTTGCTACTTTGACCATTACTGCATTTTTCTTCTGAACTATTCCTTTTTACTCAGAAATGATCCCCTTCAGAAGGTTTTCCGAATGATGTGTTTGTTGTTCTGTATAAACAAAAGTGAGCATTTCTTTTGGATTCTGTCTAGAATGGGTAAAAAGCTCCTGAATATGCTTACCAGAGTGACAGAGAGGAAGCTATTAGCATGGCAAAGTGGGTCATTTTAAAGGGATGGTCCAGTAAACTTTAAAGTGTTTATTTTTTTTTTTCAAATGGATATCATATCAGTCATATCTGTCATTGAGCACTGTGTTTGGAGAAGGAGACGCATGTCTTTGCCCAAGCTAGACTATGGCTATCTGAACAAGTGCCATTTTTACAGATGTGCAAAACAACTGTTTCTTAAATTCAATTCAGTTTATTTATATAACACCAAGTCACAGCAGAAGTTATCTCAGGGCACTGCATGAAAACATTCACATACATAAAAAGTCAATTTGTAACATTATCTGTGTAAAGAAGCCACCAGATTGCATTGAATCTTCACGTTGTTGCAGTGTCCCATCCTAAGCTAGCAGAACGGCAACAGTGGAAAGTAAAAACTCCCTTAAAACAGGAAGAAACTTCCAGCAGGACCAGTCTCAGGACAAGTGGCCATCTGCTTCGACTGGCTGGGCTTGAGAGGACAGGAAGGAGAAATGGACAGAGAACGACAGGTCCAGAATGGAGGTGAACAGGTCTTTCTCAAGGAGGAAAGACAAGAAAAATAAAGCACATTAAGATAGAAATAATTGCAACTTTACAAACTATTCATTTGTATTCATTTGTACATATTCGTTTGAGGAAATGTGGTCAATTTGTCCTCCAGTAGTCTAACCCTATAGCAGCATGACTAAGGGATAGCTCAGGAAACCAAGCCAACCCCAACTATAGGATTTATCAAAAAGGAAAGTCTTAAGCTCAGTCTTAAAACTGGACAATGTGTCAGCCTCACGGACAGAAACTGGAAGTTGGTTCCACAAGAGAGGAGCCTGATAACTGAAAGATCTGCCTCCCATTCTACTTTTGGAAACTCTAAGAACCACAAGTAAACCTGCAGTCTGAGAGTGACGTGCTCTATTAGGAAAATATGGAACAATAAGATCTATACTATAAGATGGAGCTAGGTTGTTGAGAGCTTTGTTTCTTCAAAACAACATATAGGTACAACTGATATTAACTGGGCCATTGTTTGGCTAGCCTTTAGCTTAGCCTGAACAAAGACTTGTGGTTCATTCTCAATATGTTGTGTTCTGACTGATGTCACAGTTACACATCACTTAAGAGTTGACTGGACTGTCTCTTAAAACACATGAACAAATGTTTTTGCTCAAGGAGAATAATTATTTTCAGAAATAGTAATTGTTTTGTCTTACTCTTAAAGCATTACAAAATCCAGCAAGTGGTAAGACAGGACACAGAGTAGCAATGAAAAATAACTGCATTGCTTTCTTCTTCTCTCTTCAGACACTCAGCAAAAGTGGTAAAGGCAGCCTCTCAAGTCCTTAGTAGTATGTGGCAGTACAGAGACCTGCGCTCCCTCTACAAGAAGGTATGTGTGCTGCAATTTGAATTGCGGTTTGAATTCATCCTGCACCATTCATGTCCACTTTACAGATCTTTTTTTACTCATGTTCTATTTGATGCACATGGAATATTTGTTTGCTTGCCTTTCTCTCGTGTTGTAAAAATGTCTTATCTCACAATGTTCCATGAAAGAGCAGGAAGAGTAATAAAATAAGCCACAAACATGCTACATATCTAATTTGGTGGAGGTAGCACCTGTGATGATTGTAAAAGACTTTGTGGAATGAAATTAATAGAAAAGCTGCTGCTATATTTGGAAAAATGGTCTTGAACTCTGTTAATGTGATGCCTTTGTGCTTTCCCTAAAGCAGATGGTGAAGCTGATTATCTGTGGAAACATGTTAATGAAGCAATGAAAATACTTATTTGCATCCTGCCATTTCAGTGTTTAGACAGCCAAAGACTTTGCTTTATCTTTTTGTTAAACCACTTTGATTTTCTGGTCAGGACCAATTAGTGATGTTGACTTCCAGTTTCAGCAACAATCCATGCTTTGTTTAGTGCTAAACCTTGATTTGTATTTTCAGAAGCATTTATCCAACATGACATATTTGATGAGCAACAGTCAGCATTTGACATGCATTCAGTGTTGAATCTGTTTAAATCAATGCTGGTTAGATATGTTAAGGTGCTTGTTTCTTTGAAGAGATGAGCTTACTGAATTGAGGGATGTCTTTGCTTTGGAAGTAGCTGAAAGCTCATGTTATCATTGTGGGACCACCAATGAAAAGCTGAAGCCTTGACCTTATATACCTTGTGCTTAAAGGTGATAACTGGAACTTTGCTAGGCTTATAATTTATTGGTTATATTGCATGCCATCAGTGTGTTATAATTCTCACTTTGGGTGCAAGATGCCATGGGTTCATATCCCGGACGAGCCCCCAAAATGTGTTATGACCCTTAAAACAATAAAGAAGGGAATCATACTGACAACCATAGAGTTTGGCAGAGGCATTTGTCTAGTGTTTAAAATATTTACATTTACTGATAACATAAAACAAAACACGGCCTGACCTCCAGCTGGTCTATATACAATATAAATCATAATCATACCAAAAAAGTATATTTTTCAAAATATGAGGATGACAAACCTATTTACCTGGTGTATGTGTAACAAAAGTAAACTATCATGTGTGCAAAGTATATAGGATACCCCAATTTTACCTAGTCCTCAACTCCCACCACAAACCTTTTTTAGAGGATTTCTAAGTGCCTTAAACACATATTGCTGCTGCACAAGTAAACCACCGAGCAAATCAAGGAGTAGAAAACTTCACCTGCTATCTGTTCCTGATTTAGAAGACTCCAAAATGATTGGCCAGTTTTAATTCTTTATTCAAATATTGCTGGAGTATAAAGGTTGGTTTTACCTGGGATTCAGCACTTGAAGGAAAATCAAAAGAAGAGGTAGAGAGACGAGTACAAAGTACATAGACTCTGAATGTAACTGAGCATAAGACCCACAATACTTGGAAAAACACCTTTTTTTTCTTATAATTATAAAATAGGTCTGTTACATGCAATATGTTGCATAAACTTCCTTTCCAAACCTCATATTTCTGTTATTGTCATATTGCTGCTGATGGAAGTGAAAGACTCGATAAATGTAAAAACTGGGGATATAAATTTAAAAGGGGGGGGGGGAATCAAACGCATTGTAAAATATATATTTTATGAAGTCTTGTCAGAAAAATATTGTTTTTATTAAAATGTATTTCAGTTTCACCTCTGTGATATGATACATCCTGTCCCTTGCTCGTTTCTCCTTCTTTCTTGCTTTGGCTACACAGTTCACTTACTTCCTTCTAACTCTCTCTCATCCTCCAGTATTATACTTTTTATACTAACATCCCCACACTCCCCATAAAAGAACAAGAAAATCAATTGAAAGAATGACAGCTGTACATTCTCAGTGAACTTTATGATTTACAAAGAATGAACGTTTGGTCCAGTGATTGTGTTTATAGCTGTTTTATAGACTAAATTAGTTACACAAGCCAACTTCACAACTTAGTCCAGAAAATAAGAATTGAGACACCTCTTCTTAACATATTATACAGAAGTCCATTAGATATATTTTCCATAAAATGTTCTCAAGAGTAATCAGTAGCTATTTAACAATTCCAAACTTGGATAATTTACTTTAATCATTGTGCCTTTTTTGTATGCTGCTATCAGAGATATGTTTTACTCTTTAACACAGCAGTCAAGGAGCCTGTGTAATGGAACTAGACAGTTGGGTCTCTCTTTATATAAACTGTATTGACCTGAATATTTTTTGTTTTATTGGTAGTAAATGGACTTTGGTGAGTGATAAAGTGATACATGTCCTTTGCATACTAGTTCAATAAGCATAACAAAAAATGAGGCCAAAGAATGATCACCAAAAATTGTGGTCAGTCCTCCCAGAGGAGGGACAGTGGGAATATTGGTAGTAGAATGTTAGAAATGCAGCTGCCAGGAAAAAGACAAAGAGAAGATGAATGGATGCAGTTAGAAAGGATATGAAGGTAGTTGGAGTGAGGACAGAGTTTGCAGAGGACATAGTGAGATGGAGGAGGATGACTCGCTGTGGCGACCCCTGAAGAGGAAAAAGCCAAACAAAGAAGACAGCGAACGATAGTAGCATGCCATGGTTAATCATGTTAAAGTACTATGTTATAATGCATATGTTTAAAAAGTGCATTTGTGGGCGATTAAAATGTGTTTTTGGTCTGAGTCGAACAGTGGCTACAGTAACGGTGTTTTGGCTCCATGAGCCCTCTGTTGGCTTTGATACCTGTATCAACTGTTACCTGCACATATGAGTAAGATTTACTGAATAACAATAGTCGGTCAGATTATTTTCATAAAATGAAGTATACTTCTTTTCATCCAGTCTTAAAGTATTTATATTTGGAAAATATGGGTATTAGTGATTTGTCACACTGCATAGGTATCTCATAATGTACATCCACAATATTAGAATATCTGACAGGTGAGGTGAATCATGCCAACTTTCTTCTGACATCATCTGTCAAGGAAAAGGGTATAACAATTGAGCAATTGTGGCTTGGCGCTTTGGTGGTCTAAAGCTCTGAAGAGCTTTTATTGGAGAGATTACATAGTCAGTGATGATGGCTCAAAACCTGCTGTTTTAGGCACGAGCAGCTCCACAAAAGCACGTCTCATGAAGTGGTTTTTGTGTGTTAGAATGTAATAAAAGGGATGAAAGGCAGCACTGTAATTCCATCTATGAAAGAGATGTGTCAGAACAGTCACAGCGTGCTGTGTATGAAACTCCTTATGCTGACCTTTATCTTTTAGCACACGCAAAATGCTGCAGAGTCTGGTTGTCTTTTAGATCACAAGCCATCAGTGACGGATTAATGCAAGGTGCAAGGCTGTGTCTTCTTATTTCACCCTCTAGATGTATGAATTGCATGTATTTCTGCACTATTTTCTTTGAGGTCAATCATGACCACATAAGACACAAGAATAATGGAGCTCTGTTTGGCTACATTACACTGGAGTTGCAGGATCAATAAACTCATGCAAGTCCTTTTTGACTGTTGTGGTTTGGTTTATTTGAAATAAAACACACAAGGAAGCACTTTACATACTAATGCACTTACATTCAACATCAGTGCTGATGGATATTAAGTTTATTAATGGTTTAAATGGTTTACAAATGCCCAGCATTTAATGTGAAGCTCATACCAGGTGCTTCAAACAAAAGGTAAGATAAGCATGTACTGTGAAGCCTTGCAGCATTTTAATCCTGTTAAATGTCACACACTAGTTTGTGATCCATTCTACATTCTTATACACGCCCATTTTTGTTTCACATGCTTATAACAAAGAACAGATTTAGTTGTCAGTAATAAGTTTTAATGACGTAAGGTTATTTCCCGTTCAGCACACTGAAAATTCAGATGAGTAATCAGTCTTTAGAGGATTTTTAGAAACGCACGGTGCTTTCCAAAATTATCTTGCTCACTCTTTATTTATAGGTTATAAATTAAAATTTTTTTTTTTTTAATAATTAGCTAAAAGATGGTTCTAGAATTGCGCCGCTCAGGGTGGCTGCATGTTGGAGTAGCTCTGTTACATTCATTCTGATTTATTGCTTTTTAAAATTGTAATTCCTCTTTTTTCTGGATGTAAATTGCTTTTTAATGATGATTATTTCCTCTGGTATCAGATACTATGCAGCTGGAAGGATTTTTACTGAATCCTTTTTACTTTTGGGCATTTGTTATGATGTGTAACCATGGCAACAAGGTGTTTTTTAACAACCAGGAGCAGCTGATGAACATCTCAAAAGCTCAAATACCTCGACTACAGCCCCAAATCCCAAATGAGTTGAAAAAGAGGTGCTGTGGACGAATTCTTGTCAACCTGGCGCTGGTGCTTGAGTACCTGACGGTTGAGATCCTGGAGCTGTTGAGAAACTCGGCAGGTGAGAAACTCGGCTTGTGACAACGGGAGGACCGAGATCATCCCCCGACACCTTCAGCTGTCTGTCCGTGGTGATGAGGAACTCTGCAGGCTGCTGAGAGGAGTGACCATCGCTCAGGGAGGAATTCTGCCTCCTTGGGCAGTCCCGCTGCTCAGGAAGACCGAGAGGCCCACCAGATCTGATAGCACGCTGGATCCAGGTGGATCATATCTGTGGCCAGATCCTTCAACTTCACTGCAGGAGGTCCTTACTGCCCTCAGCTATCAGCATCTACAAAGTATACCAACTCTTGAATGAAACCAGGATGATGAGCTGCAACAACACTTAATTTCCTTTTGGGATTAATAAAGTAGTTTGACTTGAATTGAATCAAATTTAAAATAGAATTGCATGCTTTAATGCTGAAAAGAATGTATCTATTTATATCTATATATCTGTACAGTAGTCCCTTGTTTTTTTTGGGGGGGATCTATACCCTCAAGTAGGAATAGTAGTAGAAGTAGTCAGTAGTAGTTTATTATAT